AAAAAATACACATTTTAAAAACTACCCAAGCTCCTGTCCCCCCAAAATCAACAAGACTCTCTGATATAGCAAAGCCAAGGAGACTATACAACAGAAAAGGAATGTGGAAAACCTATGGGAAAATGAGTGAAAATATATTGCAGATCCCATGTTTCCTCTAACGGAAAATTCAGGTGTGTCACTGCAAACAGGATTGACCCACAACACAGAAACAGGAGAATATATCAGCATATTTCAAGAAATGTGGAGGTATGCAGAAGTAGGCAACAATTAAATAAGGAGCAACCAATCAAAACACAGCCCAATGTACATAGTGGCATCCATGAACCAAAATATTGGCTGGCATCCTGTTACTAAAATACGCAGATGGTGAAGCATCTCCCACCATGGCTGGAGGAGCGTGGGGGAGAAGGGAGGAATCAGAGAAGCATCTAGCTTATGACATAGCTCACTGAGACATCAAAGGACCCCTGCAAATCTCAGTGGATGATGCCAATTGTCTCTCTATGGAGAATCCAGACACTTTTTCACACACACACCCAAACTACTGAATGGCTAAACAGTGAGTTGGGGGAAGGCTGAGAGGAGAGATGTAGCATAGTTTCACCTGCAGAACTATTATGCTTTGCTGTGCCATACTGGATCTTGGCCCATTGGTTGGCTGAAAAGAATAGAAGTGTTAGCTGAAAAGAACAGAAGAAAATGGGATGATAGCGGAGGTGAAATAATAGAATCATAGAGTTGGAAGAGACCACAAGGACCATCCAGTCCAACCTTCTGCCATGCAGGAACTCACAATCAAAGCATCCCTGACAGATGGCCTCTGTTTAAAGACCTCCAAATAAAGAGACTCAAGAGGGAAGAAGACTGGCGGCATGGGTCTGCCCTGGGAAGGTGCGCCACGGGACCGAAGCATCCCCACGCCTTGATCCAGCGGCGCACCTTCCCCGTCCCTGAAAGGAGCATTAAAATAGCGCTCCTTTCACAAGTCAGTGAAAGTGCACTGCAAAAACTTGCAGCGCACTTTCACTGACTTTTCCACCGCAGCGTGTCCGGACACTGCAGCGGGAGGTTGCCCTCAGAGCGCCGGCTGTGCAGAGGGCTGGCGGCTCCGAGGGCAACCTCGGGAGGAGGAAGGGGCGCCAAGCGTGCGGCTGCCCCTCCTCTTCCCTGCCTCCAGGACGGCTTTTTAACCGTCTCAATCACTCTTCAAGGAAGTGTGTTCCACTATCGAACAACTCTTACTGTCAGGAAGTTCCTCCTAATGTTTAGGTGGAATGCTTGCTCCGTCCTCAATATGACTTCCCTTCAAATAGTTAAACAGGGCTATCACATCACCTCTTAACCTTCTCTTCTCCAGGCTAAACATACCCAGCTCCCTAAGTCACTCCTCATAGGGCATGGTTTCCAGACCTTTCACCATTTTAGCCACCCTCCGTTGGACATGTTCCAGCTTGTCAACATCCTTTTTGAACTGTGGTGCCCAGAACTGGACACAGTATTCCAGGTGAGGTACATGATCATGTGGAAGGGTGTCATGGGAATCACGGTTTGACACATACATCTTGAGGCCAACTGCTTAGGAAAGGCTTAATTATAGTATCCTGGAGGAAGACTAGCATAACTGGCATCCAGAATAGGAATTAGGCCAGGGAGATACTATATTTGTTGCAGATCCCATTTGTAATCCATGCAAGTGAATTAGTAAATTCCTATATACAGTTATTTCACTATATACAGTTATTTCATATCCAGAAACACCCAGGATCAATTCCTGGCATATCCACTAAAAGTGGTATGAAGAATCTCTAGCTGAAATTTGACATGAACCAAGTCACAGTAAACATTATGGGGCTAGAAGGGGAAATAATCTGACTTTGAATAAAGAACTTTCTTATGGGCCAGAGCAGACAGATGCGAAAGAGTGGCCCAAGTCTGCTCCAGCTGCAAGCGAGTCAGGACCCCACTGACTGCAGGGCCTGGTCCCAAAGTGGGCTGCAGATGCAGGGCCCAGGAGCTGGCTTATCCCAGGTTTTGGAGTTCACCACAGTTTTGGAGATGTATGTCATTTGAATGCCATGCCTCCCAAGTTGCCAGAAGTCACTTCATTTGGTCCATCTGTTCTGGGCCCAATCCATAATCTAACAGATCAATTTAGTACATTTTTCCAATCTAGGGGTTTTTGAAAAAAAGAATAATGATGTTCTTAACTTCTGATTACCTAGTATCTTTCCTATGTGTGAACACAATATAAAATCAGAGTTTATCTAAATTACAATTTTTGGATTATAACTTCTGGGATCTCCCTGACAGCATGGCCACTGATTTTCTGGGAGCTGGGACCCAAGAAAGTTATTTTAATAAAATCTGCACAATGTACATGTGTTGTGTGCCTTCCAGTTATTTCTAACTTAAGGTGACATGGGTTTTTTTTTTGGCAAGATTTGTTCAAATGAGGTTTACTATTGCTTTTCCCTGAGGCTGAGAGCATGTGGCTTACCTAAGGTCACTCAGTGGGTTTTATGGCCAAGCTGGGAATTGAACCCTGGTCTCCAGAGTCACAGTTTAACACTCAAACCACTACACCACACGGGCTCCTCCAGCCAGTCAATGTTGGCTTTAGGGCTTCTGACTTCTCAACAGCAGATCCCATGCTGCAAGCCAGGTTTCCTAGTACCTCCCATGTCATATGTCTAAAACACTTGATGCTTTCCTAACAGACTCCCAATTCCCACCAGACTAATAGCTGGGCATTATAAGAGCTGCAATCCAAACTCTGTTAGTGACACCGCACAAGGCTGGCACAAACCATCTGCTTTTGAAACTCAGTGGATATCAATATTTGCTTGTAATTGAGGATCTTGCTGTCATGTTTTTTAAAAAGTGAAGAAGGCAATGTTCACCTTGTGTTTCCAGGTTCTTAGGCATGTTAAAAGGAACTATTTGGACTATGGATAGTGTGTTTAAAACTTAGCAATTACTGTTTATTACTGATTGCTTAAGATGGATGAGAAGCTTGTCCACCTGGTTTCTATGCAGCTTGAGAATCATAGAATCATAGAATCATAG